TGTGGACTGTGGACTGTGGACTGTGGACTGTGGACTGTGGACTGTGGACTGTGGACTGTGGACTGTGGATTTGTGATGATGGTATGATGGTATGATATAGAAAGTACATCTCTGTGTATATAAAGTCCTCACTGTTGCGCAGTGTGTTGGTAGAATGTTTCTTTTTGCTCGCATAAGATTCAACGCACATATGTTGAATGTTCTGTGTGTGATTCATATCTTTATGGAAGACTCGGGTTTCGCAGAGAGGGAATGTTATAAATGAATCGTGGACGGAAGTCTGATATATCGCAGGACGTGGTTATAGAATGAGGTGCGATCTGATATCTGTGGGACTTGGTTTCTTCCAAGTATCATAGGTGGACTAAGGTGTTCGAGTCAACAGAATGTGGGCGATATGGTTGTATGCCATGATTCCATTTAATGATATCATGAAAGTACCTTTCACTCTGCGAAGTTTGGTTGCGTGAACAGAATATTTCTTTCAATTCTGGTGGTGAGAGCTTAGAATATACTATAATTGTTCTCTTAGAGCATGTTTGGCTCGCGAGGTAAATACTTTTGCACCATACAAATAACTTTTACATACAATTCTTTTATATAAAGATTCGCGACTTTCGCGACTTTTGCGAGGGTGGCTGGCCAGGGAATATTGTTTTAGATTAAAATCGTCACAAATCTAGTATAAATCTCGTTCCAAAAGTTTTTATATTTGCACCACTAAAATAAGAATATAAAAGAACTAAGGCCCTAACCCTTCAGATCTTTTTGATTCCTGCAAATCTCTGTGCAAATCTCCGTGCAAATCTTTTAATTCTACGTCCTACCCCCTATAATATCCCCTCCCCTCCTACAGTATCCCCTCCTGCAGAAAGCAAAACCTGGCTAATTAATAGTCGTAAAGCAAAGGCGTATTATGGGGGGGGGGGNGGGGTGCACCGTAGGAGGGACACTATAAGTATGATACTATATAAGTGACGCTGTAGGTTAGGGAGGGAGGTACAAAAATATAAAATACTTTTGCAGCGAGCCAAACGGTAGTATATATATTTCGTTAGATTAGTACATATTATATGCAAATCAGGAAACTTTTGCATAAGCCCTTAGGTCCTAGGAATAGTGCAAAAGTTTATGACTTACCCTAACATTTGTACTATTCTAACTCGCGAGCCAAACATGCTCTTAAGTAAAACAACTTCTCTTAAAACCGAGATTTTTTATAACGGCTTCTACTCTATATAGCTTAATAAGTTAATATATATTTTCATGACACCTCTCATATACTGTATCTGCAGAATGACGTTTCTACCTAATCCATATGCGAGGAAGCTTAACACGCGTCGCTTAAAATGGGGATATATGCTATGGTAACTCTTAAATCGACTATTTGATTAATACCATGGGTAATTCGTCAATTAGACCACATGATGGAATTCTCCTACTGTACTAATTAATCAATTTTCGACTCTCAAAATATTTATTACCTTAATTAAGGGGGTGTTTGGCTCGTGTAATTTAGAGATTTGCACCATATAAAAAGAATTGCATGCATATGTTTTTAGAGCATGTTTGGCTCGCGAGTTAGATTAGTGTAAATGTTAGTGCAAATTATAAACTTTTACACTAGTCCTAGGACTTAAGGGCTTATGCAAACGTTTCCTGATTTGTATATAATTTGTACTATTCTGACGAAACATATATACTACCGTTTAGCTTGCTACAAAAGTTTTTTCTATTTTGTTGTATATCTAACCATTCTACTATAGTAAATCAGACCTTCTACATTCTCCTTTAGTCCCCCTACCCTAACCCGCCCCCGCTACCTACTATGCCTTTGTGTTATACCTACAAATTAGCCGAGTTGGGGATACTATAGGAGGGGATACTATAGGGAGGGATACTGTAGGAGGGGATACTATAGGGAGGGATACTGTAGGAGGGGATACTATAGGGAGGGATACTATAGGGAGGGATACTATAGGGAGGGATACTATAGGGAGGGATACTGTAGGAGGGGATACTATAGGGAGGGATACTATAGGGAGGGATACTGTAGGAGGGGATACTATAGGGAGGGATACTATAGGAGGGGATACTATAGGAGGGGATACTATAGGGAGGTAGGTGTAACGAATCCTCAAACTGGCTAACTAAACTTGGCTGGGTGTTCGCTGGTTGGTATGCTATGATAAGAAGAAGACTA